TTAAAATGTCATTTATAAAATTAAATCCTGGAAAATTTGTATTTAGGTTTTCGATTAGAAATCAAGTAATACGTGTTTCAGGATTTTTGGAAATTTCACCCTCAAGGGGGTTGAACAAGGGTAAAACTTCGTAAAATATCCGTTTTTTTTTAAGTTAAATCTATGAAAATTGGTATTTGGGTGTTCAGTTAAAAACAAAATAGCACGTGTTTCAAGATTTTGGAGAATTCTATCCCTAAGGGGGTCAAATAAGGGATAAAAGTTTGTATAAATATGTATTATAGTTAAACATGGAATGAAGATTTGTATCAAAATTTGTCATTGTTAAGTAATATTCATGAAATAAGAATAAAAATTTTACGGTTTTTAAATAAGTTATAAAAGACGGACTTTTTATTTTTACTACGAAGTTCATAATAAATTGTGTTGCTATATTTTGTTAGTAAGTTTCTTAGCCCTTCTGCGTTTTGAAATAGTTGTGGATTGTAATGTATACTTTGGAAGAAAACAAGTTTATAATTGAAGTCTATTTTCGAAGTGGACGCTTAGTAAACGGCGATTCTTAAATTTTGAGTTAAAACAAGTAGGTACACCTATTTTCGTAAAGCGGCACTTTTTATTTTACACATCTGGCTAGATGAAAATCATTTATAATCACACTGTATAAAAAAAACTCACCTGTTTGTGAATTTTTGACTCTCGAACTGCAAGCAATTTCTTGCGTAACAAAAACCCTCGACAATAAGCTTGAAAACCGATGATTTTCCCACGAATTTTCACCCAATCGTTGCGATTTTTATACCCCCTCCATGCTTTCTGTATTTTGACAACAGCATTTAATTTCTTGATATTTTTCTGCACTAGAAACATTCTACAGTAGGACTGTATTGTAATGACGGCACTTTTAATCCTGAGAAATCTTCTCCGTTCCAAACAAACCCGAAACCATCTTTGTAATGTAATAATACTCGCCATAATTTGTTGATGCAATTTACAATCTAATTTGTGCTTTTCGGATTCGCGTAGAAACACTTTACTACTCCCCAATTGATAATTATCTCTATCTAAATTAAGCGTCGCCAAAAAATTTCGCACATCATTCTGCGAACTGAGCAAACCTTTCGGTAACAAAATCCGATATAATTGTATAAACTCATCGTAGGTTAACCGAACGTTAAAACCGGCTTGTCTTATCCTCACTGTTTCCAACATCCCTGTATATCTCAACTGTCTTTGAACCGTTTCATCATCGAACTGATTCGGTATTTTATTACTATTCGATTTGATACAACGAATAAAAAACGGATTTGCTTGATTCAACGTATCCATGAGCGAATGAAGCGACTGTTGAAACTGAGCCGTTACTGTCATTGGCTGTTTTCGGGCTTTACCAAGTTGGCCTTGATTCGTTGCGGTTAAACCGGTACGACCAGCAAGGGTTTTAACCGATTGCAGATTCTTCAAACCTTTTTTGCTACGCTCGCGGGGACGAAACGACTTATTCTTCCTAAACAAAAGAAAACACAACATTAGAGTCACGTGACGACGTTTTTTTATTAATTTATATTAAAAGACATGCAAAAACCCATGCTGGTTAGTAAGATGAGGAAACAAAGCTGGAATGTTGATTGTAGTCGAAAATTCCCCCAATCAAAACAAGTTGTCAACTCAAAACTAAAAATTCCCTGTCAATAGAACTGTTACTATGGTTACTGCATTAAATAAAAGAAAAAATAATTGAAAACCACCAAATTGGTTAAAAATAGTTCTATTCTACATTTTTTTTAAGTAGAAACGCAATAATTTCGCGAAATTTTGATAAAAACAAGCCAAAAAATACAGAATTAAGCCGAAAATGATATATTTTTTCTTATTCGAAAATTTAAACAATTTTTTTAGCTGAAAACTTGTTTTTTCCCGAGAGTTTGCCACAGCGTGTATATATTTTTACCTAGTTCTTAGGTTTTAACTTGATTATTTCGTAAAATTTTCTCGAAAAAAAATTGAAAACCACCAAATTGATTAAAATACAACTTATTTTTGTTTTTTTTTTCGAATGCTTTTTCAGCTAGAAACACAATTATTTTGCAAAATTTTGTCAAAAACAAGCGACAAATTTTAAAACATAGCCCAAAAATGGCTTTTTTTGTCTTTTTGAGAAATAAAAACCCAAAAAGTTCGAAATATTGCATTGAAARAGGTTAAAAAATTACAAAATTAAATCYAAAWTGATATCATTTTTTAGCTTGTTTTGCCCGACTTCGTTTTTAAACCAGAGTTTCATTTATTTTGCAAAATCTTGTCCAAACAAGCCGAAAAATCACAAAAACTATTGATATTGATGTTATTTTGTTTGTTTTATTTGATTTTTGAGCAAAATAAGACACAAATAAACCGAGAAAACACAAAATTTGGTCAAAAATGCTTCATTTTTGTACTAAAATCTCAGGTTTTCCTAAAACAAGAAATTCCCTGTCAATAGAACTGTTACTATGGTTACTACATTAAAAGTATCAAATCGTTGTCATGGTTACCACCCCCAGGAAAAACGTTGCTATGGTTACAACATAACGTATAGTTATTGACAACGTATAAATTGGTGAATTTTCCGACTGTATAGTTTGTTCCCGTGTATGTTTTAGCCGTCACCGAATCGAATTTTTTTTTTACATACATTACAATTTGATTAGCTCTCTGTATGGCCCTTGCTTCGTCCGGACACAGCACTCTTTCTAATGCCGAATTAGGATTGTTTCCTGTCGAATCTTTTCTTCTTCGTTCATCGTCTAGTGTTTTATTACTAGTGGCGCCTCCTATTGCTCGATTTCGTTGATAAAATTGTGGCCAAGAGAGTCTATTATTATTATTGCTAGGAACTTCGTTGTTTTCGTTGTTTCGTCCAAGTCTATTGATTGAGAGGATGTTTCGTTGTTTGCTAATAATAAATAAATTTATTTAACAAATTTAAACCACCTCTCAATCAATCAATCAAAAAATACAATTAGTTCATGCTTGAAAATCATGCTTATGTTGATGAGGAAATAATAATGGACATGAAACTAAATAACGTCAACCGTTTACCACTTACGCAATTCTGTTAACTGTGAGATTCACAGCAGAAACCGTCACAAGATGGCTAATAACAATTTCAACAATTTAATTTCCTCAAACCTCAAACACACTCAAACATCCAAAAAAATCACACAACAATACAAACCTAATAATATTTTCGTTTGGAATATGATTACGTTGGTAGCGCTGTTGTATGTTATTTTTATTTCCATCAACACGTCCTTGTCGGTGCTTTCGTCCAGCTTCGTGAAATGCAAAATAAGCGCGAAAAAAAGCCCGAACAATTGCCCATCGAAACACAGCAACTGGATCAGCCCCAACCAATTCACGTACAAATGCCATTGAACTGTTTTTCAATACACCGACAATATCTTGTCGCATCAAATCGAGATTTTTCTCACGCATGTCGGTCACTTGGTATTTGACTTTACCGGCATAGTGGACAACGATAAATGCGCCCTCTTTCTTCTGCGGTTTGTTGTAGAACTTGTTGTCTTTGTGAACGGTGTTGAATTTTTGAAGGAGAGTCTCGTTGGTGGCCCCTGGGAAACTAAAACTCAAATTATGATTTGTACAGGGTGTCCGAATAGGGAATCTCCGAAACTAAGAGGTTTAGCCAAAAACGAGTAATACATTATGGGGCTCATTTTTTGAGAAAATAATATTGGTTAAAACCGCATCCCGCTATCGTCTTTTGTTTTCGACTTATAGACAAAAATTGACATTTTGGCGAAATCTAAAAAAATTCATATCTTCGTTATTATAGAAGATACGGATTTGAAATAAAGACATT